AGAAGGGAAGGAACGGGGAAGGACCGTGAAACGAGCATGAAAGGAACGTCAAGTCCGTAAATCTGTGCTTTTGCGCTCGATGCACCATGTCTCAGGCCCGAACCCGGACCAGCCATCACCCTCCTCCCTTTGGAGGCAATATGCCTAGCACACGGTCGGTCGCATAACCGTGAGCACGTGGGTCTTCGAAGCTGAAACTGAACCAACTCCGCGAAACGCTCAGCAGCCCAACATTGGGATCTATTCGCCAGTCTCTTCTGTGCCTAGGCACGAAAATGGGCTAGGGATCCGAATTCTGGGCAGGACACAGTAAGAGAAAGCCGCATGAGGCCATCAGCCACCTCTGCTGGGCTGTGTAGCCGACACTCTGAGCAAAAAATCGGTGTCGCCATGGATGCAAAAGTCGACGGCATCGCCGATCCTCAACTGCATGCTCGGACCAACTGGCAGTCAGACTTCCCCCCTTCATGCGCAAATGACTGCGATCACCGATGTCATCTTTCCAGGCCGCTGGCCATTGACCAGGAGCCATCGCATCCTTTGGGCATGTCACGAACCATGTTATCACGAAAGCCCACCGCGACATCCTGCATAGCAATTGAACGCTTGCGACCTCAGACTTTCTTTCTGAAATTCTGAGGCCTAGACCTCGATAATCTCGTCTTCCGAGGTCTGAATCTCAGCCTGAGAACGCGAGGCTGCCTGGCCTCCTAGCAAGTTCTTCCTTCCGAATCCATCCCTGGCGCCTGCCGTGCCTCACGCATCTTCCGCATCGTCAGAGGTCCCCAAGAGCCGTCTGTCGCCACGGCCTCGCCAGAAAAAGCACCGGCAGAAGGGCACAGAAATGCACCAAATGCAGTCAGCCAAGCGGAAATAAGCGGAAGAGTAGTGCGGGGCTCCAGCCTGCGCTCCTGTGATGATGACCCGCGGAGCTACCAAGAGGCCTGATAGACCGCTTCTCAAGTTTTCGTGCTTCAGAAGGCCACCGCTGACCAGCTCGAAAAAGACGGGCAAGCGCGCAGGGAAAAGACCGAGCAGCACACTTAAGCGCACGCCACTGCCGTCCGTGACATAGGGATTATCTGTAGCCTCGCTCTGGTGCAGGGCAAGCACCCCTTCTCAATGTTCCAGAGACATGTAAGGCAGGACGCAGACCCCGCCTCACCGCTATGAAGTTGTGAATACATGTCCATATTCACTATGTGGCTCTACTTTAGGAACCATGGAGCTTGAAGGGACAAGGTGACAAGGCATGCGCGCCCTCAATAGCACGGTACAGACGCACTCCGATTATCAGACTATCGCGCACATAGCCTTCGCACGGAACCTATTTTTCAACCTAACTGTCCGAATATGATTGTTGTTCCACATCCTGCGCCGTGCCTGCACGAAGAACTCCGAAGCAGCTAGTCCTGGGTGACAGCTTCTACTCTTTAGGAGTTGCGCGTGCTCCAGGAAGAGCGCCCAAGTACTGCCCCTGTTACAGTACACTTGGCAGACTTTGGCGCATCAAACTCCACAGGGTAGAAGGAAGTCTCTGTAGCTATGCATGCCAAGACACTCTCCGCATCCGTTGGCTCTCCGCGTGGTGTGACGGCCTCATAGCAACAGGCTGCATACATACAGTACAGTACAGAGGTTTGATGAGGCCTTGGGACATTTTTGGGCCCCAGGTTTGGTTGTTACAAGAGCAGCGATAACCTCTCAAAGTCTACAGAGGTCTCGAGCAAAGCTGCGATGACACCTCTGACACCACCCGCTCAAGTTTCATAAAGGGCCAAGCCTCCTCGGTAGTTGCCTCATCGCCGGTGCTGTATCCCTTGTCCTTGTCCTTGTCCTGGTCCTTGAGCATGAACTCTGCGAATACCATGTCTCTGTGCAACGAGAAGGCAGGGCCATGAACTGAGCTCCGCACTGATTGAGACGCGTCTGACCTCAGCCAACATAGGGCTTAGAATGGCCACTTCGGGGCTTAAAGTGGAAAGGCTTAGGGATGAATCTATAAGGCAAAGGTCACTGTTGCAACAGCTCCGCGAATCGAGCAGCCTAACTCAGAAAAAGTAAATCACACATCATCTCACCTCGGCTCCTGGCTTCGTTCGTCTCCGCGGCTGCGGCTGCATCCACATGTCCGGGCCTTTGCCAAGAGATGCCAAGAGGCGACGGAGGCACAACACATCGCAACACGCCCTGCCAACAAGCAGCCAAGCTTTGTCCGAGTTCCTTCCTTAAATTTGACTCCGAGGCCAAGCGGCTTGGAAGGTCTCTGGGAACGAGGCCAACCTGACACCGCCAATTTCAAGACCTGAAGCATCCTTTAAGATTCGCCGGGCGCCTCCATAGCCTCGGGGTGCACGGACCCGAACCAAGAGCGCCTCACCCGCGCAGAGCTCACAGAGTCGCGAGCTCACAGGATGATCCCTGGGCCCTGCACTCTCCACAGTGTCGGAGCCTGAAACTCTTGAAGCTCTTTATGGCAGCGATGCTAAGTGCACCATGCAGAAGCATCAGAAGTCATAAGTGTGCGCTGAAGCGAGCGGGCACTTCTTCTTTAATTCACATGCAAAGGATGCCGCCGGGCACCGGGCTCCTGGACCCATTCGGTAATGAAGGCATAGGCTTCTCCTCAAACAGGACTGCAAGTGCGGCGTTGAGAATGCTTGGCTGCCCGCGGGCCTTGGAACGGTATGGTTCAAACTTGCAATGGGGTGCCTCAAGCGATAAAGTGCGAGCGATGTGATTGTTGAGTCAGACTAAGGGCTACAGGTGCTGTTGCTCGGAGCAGCTATTTGGCAGATCCCTGTTGTTTCAATGCTTATGCTTCTGTTTTCCATTTGCCTCTGTCCTGCAGGAATGTCCGTGCTGAGGTGGACCCAGTGCCCAGGCTCCAGGCCCTGCGAAGGCAGCAACATGGTACTCTCTACATTGTAGAATTTCGTTACGAAGCAGGAATTTGCAATTCTAGACACCCGAAGAGGGCGTCTTGGGTTAGTTTCCTCATCTGCGCCGTTTGCTCATGAAGGACCCAGTCATGGCCTTCTGCATCGGGAAGCTTTGGCCATTCTTCTTGCGGACCAGCCTCGTCAAGCTTCGCACTTGTGAAGTCATCATGTTCTTGTGTGTTGGGACTGTGTTTGAACAAATTTGCGGGGCGCGTCGGATTGATGATTTCGTGCATTGTGTTTGTTTTGTGCAAACGATCTCTCAGTGTGTTCCGTGCCGTACTTTCTGTGTTTGGGCCTTATCTGGGGCTTCTAACTATGAGGTGAGACCGCTCGGCAAGAGCGTCGCAACAGCTTCGCTGCTGAGCACTTTTTGGCGGCCTGGGCGGCCACGACAACTCGGAGCGATCTCTCGCTGCTGGTGGCGACATGGGCTTGGGATGGCTCAGGGTTCTGGGTACTGCGAAAGTCACGACCATGCCAAGCTCTTCCAGGTTTCGGTGGTCCCTGTAGGCCCCGTCGGGTGGAGCTTCCAAAGCACCTGCTCTGGCTTCGGTTCTTCGAAGTTGAAGTTGACCATCTGCGACTCTGAAGCCGGGAAAGTCTCCTCGTTCACGCTTCCCGCAAGGACTGGAAGTCCGCCATGCTGTCAAGCGATAGACCGAGGCAGCTAAGGATGTTTGGGCAAAGTGTCCTGTAGACCAGCGCCTCATCAGGTGCATGACAGCCAACAACTTGAGCCCTGCGAAGAGGAAACTTCAGCGGGAACACGTGGCCTGCGTCTTGTCTTGATGTGTGCCTTGCGCTAAAGAACCCTTCCCTTCAGGGCTGGGCCACACATTGGTCGCTGTGGGATCCTCCGGCCGCAATGGCACATCGAACAGCAAGAAGCTGTTGAATTGGAAAGGTTGGTCTTTAAGAACCGAGGACGCGGCCCAGTATTCGAAGACCCTCGATCCACTTGACATAATGAGTGGCAGCTGACCTCAAGAGTGTGACAGAAAATGATAATCATCATAATAACAATCATTGCAATTATAACAATAACAATAATAATAGTAATTACAACAATGATACCAGGAGGAGTAGGAGTAGGAGTAGTAGTAGGAGTAGGAGTAGTAGTAGTACTACTACTACTACTACTACTACTACTACTACTACTACTACTACTACTACTACTACTACTACTACTACTACTACTACTACTACTACTACTACTACTACTACTACTACTTGTTGTTGTTGTTGTTGTATAGTAGTAGTAGTAGTAGTAGTAGTAGTAGTAGTAGTAGTAGTAGTAGTAGTAGTAGTCGTAGTCGTAGTAGTAGTAGTAGTAGTAGTAGTAGTAGTAGTAGTAGTAGTAGTAGTAGTAGTAGTAGTAGTAGTAGTAGTTGTAGTAGTAGTAGGAGTAGTAGTAGTAGTAGTAGTAGTAGTAGTAGTAGTAGTAGTCGCAGTAGTCGGAGTTGTAGTAATAATACTAATAGAAATATATAAATAATAATCGTAATAATAATAGTAATAATAAAAATCATATTAACAATAATACTAAGAATGATATTAATAATAGTATTAATAATAATAGTAACAACAAGGCTCCGTTGGATCGCAAGAAGCTAGTACGTGTCTCGGTGAATTCTGGCCCTCAGCTGTCGGCAGCGCTTGCAAACAGCTCGCTGCCAACAAACCTAAATCGATACCCAGCCGCGTGTCTGCTGTTCCTGCTTTGGTTTTTTGTGGCTGATACAGTGGGGCTACTGCATGGTATCTTGCTTTGGCTCGGCAGCTGCCAAATTCCATGTTTCAGGGGGCCGAGGGCCTAGGCTCAGTCCACTGAGCAAGCACAACCGGCTGTTCGAGGCATTTGAAGACTCGGATGACATGCAGCTGCTCGAGCCAGAAGAGCCCAGGAGCAACCCAGCAGATGATGTTTCTAGACGGCTAAAACACACCTCAAGCCCTGGCTGAATGGCACAACTTGGTGCTGCAAACCCGTCCACCTCCACCTTGTCAAACCCTTGCACAGAGTTCGACATCAAATCTTGAGACAATGCAGTGGGCCTTCAAGCGATCTAAGAGGAACCGCTCAGCTGCAATGAGCAAATGCACCGCCAGCTCGGAGGAAATTTCTCCGACCTGCATCGGGAATCAGAAGACTGTCCGACCTTTCACGGAGTACTGTTGTCGATGAAAGTTTGTGCTGCCCATCAGCACATGGGCGAAACCCTTTCTGCCACCACAATACACAATTCACCGATACGCCCCAAAACTGCCCAACTGCATCAACATTGCCACAACCCAAGCAAAATTAAACAGAATTGCGTGCTACGTCAGCAACAGGCGGCTTCCTGCCTGATCGGTGTAGATATACCTGGGTGAGATCCGAGATGCATGATAGCAAAATGTCTGTCCCGTTGCGATTCAGGCACAGTTACAGAAACTGAGAGTGTGATGGTCTGACGTGTGAGCTCCACCTCATGCTGGTTTTAGGACATGTGCTGGAAACCTCAGTGCCTTATCATCAACCTGTTTCACTCTGATTGCCCTCGACTTCTTTTCGAAGCTGCAGCCTACAAATCAACCGCCTCTAGCTTCAGCTTGCTGATCCTGCGGTGGGCTCCCCGCCAAATCTGCTGACTCCGAGGTCGCTGCTCTAGTAGCAGGAGGAAGACGGGGTGCGCGACATCTTGAAGCACGATTTGCTCCTCGGCATCGGACCTCAAAACAAATCCTAGATGTTTCCACACTGTGCCTCTCGCCACTACCCAGCTCGGCTTCTCTATGCTTCTCTTGATAACCGACGAACAGTGGAAACAGCCGTGAGAAAGACACAGTCTGACACGGTCTGTTGGATTGTGAAAGGGAGCTCGGTTCCATTTTGCCGAGAGGCGACTCACGCATGCCTCCATAGAAGAGCGCTCTGAAGTGCTCGGACCGAGCAGCCAGATGCGCACGCCTGAAGAGAGAAGCTGCGCTCAGGTCGCACTGCAGATCATTGCAGATTCCTGCAGATTGAACTGATTGCAGTTCCGATTTGCATGACATTGCATGGGCCATTCCAGATCCACAAAGATCGAACTGCTGCTCGCACTTGCAAACACTCTGCCAGGGTCCCGACGTTGCGTACACGGACTGATTTTCAACTACAAAAGTGACCTCATGAGCAGGCCGACTTTGACCGGCAGCCCATGCCCGTCATGGCTCTGACTTTCAACAGTTGCAAGTCTGCAAGTCTTCTAGGAATGTGGCATCAGCGAACGCTGGATTGTTGATCAGCTTTCGCAGGTCATCCACCAAGTTTGACGGCCTCAGAAGCTTAACTCGCGAGCCCGCGCAAACCAGATAGTGTCCTTCGACCGGCTTTACCACCTAGCCCTTGGTGTCGCGCGGTATGCTAACAGGCTCGAATCTGAACTCGTAAAAGTCGTTGAGCACCTTTGCTTGTGAGAATCGCAGCACGTCATGAGAAGCTGCACGATGTGATCTTGAGTTGCAAACACCTGTATACATGTTCAATGGGCTTTCAGCTGAGAGCAACCCAGTACCCCTGCCACGGAACTGTCGATACAGACCAAGGCTGTCATTGGCTTGGAGTCGAGTTTAGGCTGAGTTCGGGGGGGGGGGGGGGGGGAGGTTTCAGAGCCTGCGGCAGATCAAACTCAGACGACCCAGATCGAAGAACACCATCATGGAAGACATCCAGCTTGGTGACATAGCAGTGCCACGTGCAACGGGTCCTGTCGGTCCCGCACAAGGTTCTTGGGATGTCCTTGAGCTCGATGAAGGACCCGCAACGCTTCAGGTAGCTTCAGGTGCTCGAACAAGCGAAGATGAGTCATGACTGCCCCATGCTGTGTCGCAACGGATCTGCCGTGGTTCGTTGCTCGCCATACCTCCTGCAACCTGCAGGGAGGTTCAGTCCGTGCCTGCATGGACTGGAGTCTAGACGATGAGGCGGGTATAGGCAGAATTAGGGTCGTGAAAGCCCCTCCCGTCGCCGTCCTTCCAGCTGATCCCGTTGAACCCGGGAGCGCATGGCGAGGGGGCCTCTAAAGAACTTACTGTCGGCGTCAGCGTCTCTGCACTGAATCGTCCGACGTCGTGCAGAAACATCTATGCCGAATGTGAACCCTATGATCCCATGTTTCCGTTGTGTTCTGGCTCGAAGGAGAACTCGAAAGAGTTCTGTTTTCTCCAGTGTCAGTGCCAGTGCCAAGTTACGTTTGCTTCCAGCTGTGTGCTTCTGGTCTCCTGGTCCACCAGCCATGATTGAGGACCAGCCATGATTGAGTGGCGGGATGCCCGCGAGTTTGCAGCTCAGTGTAACTTTAACAGCTGCTGGTAGCTTGGCATTCGCTTGACTGTGTATGGGCATAGACAAATCTGTGCAAAAGGTGCCGTCCAAGCTTGGGAACAGTCGCAAAACATCAGCAAACACCAAGGAGATCATCCGGCAGGGCAATCCTGATCTCTGTCTGCCTTCGGACCAGGCACGCCGCCAAGCCACCCTCCGCCCTGACACCAACAAAACAAAAATCCTCTGCATGTGACAAGAGCACTCCGTTCCTGCATTGGGAGCCAGCACAGTCCGCTATGCTCAGCCATACAAGCACGTCACCGGAGGAAGTGCTGACGATGGAAATTTGCCGGCATGTTTCATCCACGCCCGCCAGCTCTTCACCATCTGCAGAGAAGACTAAGGAGAAGGCTCCGCCGCACAAGGTCCTCAACTCAGATCCCGTCTTGCCGCAGAACAGGCCGATGTCCTCATAGTTTGGCTCGCGGCTGGCAATGACAATTAAAGCACCATCGGGTGAAAAAAGTACATCTGAGAAGATCCCATCAGTACCATTCCCCAAGGACCAAAGCCGCTTGCCCTCCTTGACGTCCCAAACGCTCGCAGGGATGTCAAGATCGCCGCCAGCCACAAGTCGTTCACCGTCTGGGGAGAAGCAGACAACATCCTTGCAGTCCAAGCAGATGCAAGCGCAAGACATTTCGGAAATACTCCAAACCTCCAAAGATAAGTCCATGCCGTCGCTTGCCCAGAATGCCACTTGCCCCGCACAGATGGCTACCTCTTTTCTCCCGCTGCAAGGGTTGCATGCTGTTTTGCTGAAGATGAGTTCGCACCTCATCATGTCCTTGGCTCATGATGGAACGGGTAAAAAGCGCTGTCGGTTCACGAGTTCATCATGCCAGCGCTCGGGCATCACACAAAGCCCTCCCTCAAGTCCTTGAAGGGTCTCAATTGCCGGGCCACCCACACTTTGACCGTGCTCTCTGTTCGGACGGCTAGACAGTTGCTGAGCCGATCCATTGCCATCGACACCACGGGGTCGGCCCCAGAGAGCTGCACACTGGCCACTGGCTGTTCACCTGGCACCACGGCAGATGCAGCCAACCCCATCCAACCCCAAGAGTTCGCGGGGCCCCCAAAAAGGAAAGAGGACTGAACAAAGCGGGTTGGACCTGAGAGGCGCCAGAGCTGTGCGACATCTGCCCACCAGGCAATGAAGCGCAGGCCTGGCAGCGGCAAGGGTCGGAGGTCACCACTCTGCTGAGCTTCGACAGCTACGCTAGGCTTGCCGACTTGCAAGCTCTTCTTCCAAGGTGCCTTCTGCGAAGACAACCTGCAGAACGTCGCCATCATGCAGTCCTTCACAGCTCATCATAGCTACGTCACCTACGTCATGCTCAGGTGGTCTCAGGAGCAGGGGAAGAAGCAGGCTTGGATTGATGACACGTGAACACGCAAGAATCGGCCGAGCAAACTTAGCTAAAGCTGGTACCCGCTTACACAGCCAAACGACACAAATCGTTGGACTCATGCCTGTACATATCTGTACTTGTGCCCTCGAACAGTGGGGTTCTCGTCCTGCACTCTTCAGCGTGGAGTCGTGCAGCTCCACAGAGCGGAACAACAGTCCTCCAGCTCAGGACAAGCTCCCGAGGTTTGGCACATTTTCAGGACCCCCGCACCACAGCGGCCCCAAGAGGCTCTTTATCGATCTGGGAGCACAGGCCGTTAAACAACCGACAAGCCTGAAACAACATGAAGACCCTAACAAAGGGTGTGAGATCCCCTGAGATCATCTCAGATGCCCAAGAACTTATGCCGGGCCACGAAGCGCAGTGACGTCGCGGAGCCCCAACGTCGAGGCGGCCTGCTCCCGCAGCTGCGAGACGGAGGTGGACTCCTGGGGAGGGGGGGGGGTGGGTGTGGGGAAAGGGGGGTGGGGGGGCGGGTTTAGGGGGGGGGGGGTGGGGGGGGGGATGGGGTCGGGGGTTAGGCTGGACGAAATCTCGTCAGGGGCAAGAGTTCTTCTGCTGCGGTTTCCGTCACCACGCAAGTTGCGGAAGACTGCTTGGAAACGGAAATCCCGCTCTGCCTGAAGCTCGTCCAACGTTGCCAGGATCTCACCGGTCACAGCATGCTGCAAGGTCAAGGAAAGAGCTGCAGGGGGTGGCTCCATGTTGTGCAGCTCCGTCGAAGGCCCGGGCCGGCTGAGCAAGCTGCAGCTCTGCTAGGCTCTGCAATGCTCTGCAACGCTCTGCAATGCTCTGCCCTTCTGCTGTATCATCAGCCTGCTCGCTGCTTACTCTGCTGCCAGAGCCATGCCCAACAATCGGCGTAGGCATGCTTGACAAGGCCATGGTGAATACAGAATGCGATGCACAAACCCAACTCTAGGGCTTGGCAGGAATGTCTGACTCAAAAGGGCCTGTTGCTTCCACACTCTCAGCTACAAGCTGCATGTGTGCCCACATGCCAAATCAATGTCAAGGCGCTATGCTGCCATTGTAGCCGCCGAAAACGTACAAGGAGTTGTTAAAAACCTGCACCATGTCAGGAATGTCAGGAGCTGCAGCACATGCAGGACCATCACACCGAAGGAGCGGTGGCGTAGGCAATGGAGCAAACCAGGGCACCGAGCAACTTCGACATTAAGCAAAACGTGCGTGATAGCTCCTAGTTTGCCGATCTCCGATGCATCAATGCTACAGCCGCCAACACCGCGCTGCTTGTCTTGCCGCAGTTTTGGTTGTGATGCTGGTGCCGACCCATGCCTCTGCGACCAGTGATGATCTGCCACTGGGAGGTTCTTCTGTGCTCAGGATGAACCTGCCGAAGGTAAGGTGTCTTTTGCATTAGCACTAAACAGGAAGATGCGTACAGGCCAGAAGGTCCTAGACGTCTCATGGACTTTTGTGCGACAAGTCCGACGGAGAATCAGCAAACCGACCCAGGCATTGAGTCCAAGGCCAAGTGTGGCAGTCGAAGCGGAACTCGTAGAGGTCATTTAAGCGCTCCTGTGCGGGGCTCACGGCTGAACCGGCTGCAACGAAACGGTACCGTACCATACTGTACCTCGAAGCAGCACACGTGTGGCCTGCCCACTGTAGCCTCCGAAGAGAAACAACGAATTGCCGTAGACCTTGGACATTGGGAGACTACAGCAGTGGTGCCGGCAGTAATTCGGGGAACGTAAGGGCGCAGCTACGCTGGCATGGAAGTAGCGAGGAGATGGCACCTGCTTTCGCCGCGGGGCAGGGTAAGCCGTACAATGGCTGTGCAGAATCCAAAATCACTCCAACGCATCGCTGTATTCGCAACCACCCCATGAAAGCTTCCACACCTGTCCAGCCGACCGCACGGACGACCAGGTCCTGAGAGGCTAGGTCGGGACTTCCGAGGGAAGAGTTGCTCGAACACTACCGAAAAGGGCCAGTAGCCTAAGCCTACACTCCTCCGACTTCGACATTTTGGGAGGTGAAGAGGAGGATGTTGAAGATACTGCCAAGAGCTTCCCAACAAACCCACAAGCATCCAGGATCCCTCCACGGCTGGCTGAAAGAACGAAAGTTAACCCTTCAGTCCAAGTGGTCCCTTAGCCCCGAACTCTCCATGGCCCTACAGCTCGCAACTTCTCCGGCGCGTTGGCCCTTCAGAGCCTTCAGTATGGGGTCCTGGAGCCCATCCGGAACTGGTGGAAGTCGTTCATTCGGTGAACGCCTCAAGCTTCGGACCACTGAACCACAGCACTTCCAAATCGAGGATTGCGACATCTCATAACATCTCTTGCAGGGTGGGGGCCGTCGTAGCCACCGAAAAGGTAGACTGATCCATTGTGAGTGGCCCAGGACGGACAACTCCTAGAACTGTCATCTCGATTTGAGCGCCTAGCTTGTTGTTCTGACTTGGTACTGGAGCTTCTGCATGTTACTCATGCATCACGCATGGAACCGCTCCTGCCGGAAGGGATGAACCCTTGCACCTGCGTCGAGTACCACCTCGGCAGCGAAGCAGCCAAGGAACGCATCCTACAAGCCTCACATTGACCGTCGCCAAGTGCTAGGACCTGCTAGGATGCACATAGGATGCGCTAGGCGCAGGGCGACCCCCGTTCAAAGTCGAAGTCGAACATATCGTTCAACCATGCGGAGCCGTCGTAGCCGCCGAAGACGTACATGAAATCGCCATGCCTTTCATGTCTGCAATGGTTCAGCTGCAGATCAGATGGGTGTGGTCACTCAGAGAGAATGCACCCTTGATCTGAGCCAAGCCACACGGCTGAGACGTAGCCGAATCGAGTCGAAGGCACGCTGCCTTTGTGGCCCGACCTCAGCCGAGATGCTGAGAGCTTGAGAGGCACTTAAACAGGCAGAGCTTCGCTATGCTTCGCTCTCCAAGCCGAGGTCTGTGCGGCACCGCCTGCCAGGTACTCGTGTCGAAGTTGAAGCTGTGGAAGTCGTTCAACCAGGTGAAGCCGGAATAGCCCCCGAACCTGGGGGCAAAATACAAAAAAGAAACAGGTTTCACGATGTCGCAGGTCCGTGGCTCAAGAACGCCGGCTCCATGTCGAGGCAAGAAGCAAATACATCTTGTTGCCGTGGACAACAGCTCCGTTGTTCTCACGGCCTGCGGGAACCTGGCACAAGTATTCTGCTTGGACCGACGCAAGCGCCGACGATGACAACTGGAGACATGCAAGCTGAGGGTCGAACTGTTCCCTGGACTTCAAGTCTGGTCCAGTACCTTCCATGCAAGCACCGCAGCCCCATGCCCTTTGCAATTGGAGTGCGGATGAGACGTCGCGGGCGCAGATTGAGCATTCCCTTTCAAGCACTGCCGGTCGTGTCGCCTGGATGGAAAGTTGAAGCGGTAGATGTCGTCTAGTCGACCTGGTTTAAGAACCGCCACTTGGGAGCACAGCGTGGAAACAGCCCACAAAGTCACAAAGCGACAAAGCTTCGGTTGTGATACACTGAGACCATCACCACTGCCGCCATATCCACCAAAAACATACAGCGCATCCTGCAAACATCGTGCCCGGACCGCTCCAGCTGAGCAGAGGAAGAAGAAAAGCCCTACGGTAGGCGCCAAAGCCAAGGGCACCTTTTAAAAGCCAAGGACAAGTCTTAAGTCAATTTCCTTCTCGCACAGGCAGCCTACACAATGAGATGTCAGTCCTGGTATATGACACTGGATGCGCCACTTCGCCTGAGTCTACAGGGATCTGCCAACAAAAAGAGCGCACGAGATTTTCGGTCTGGCTCTCCAGTACTTGCTACAATCTAGTGCTGGAAAACGGAATCAGCAAGAAAGCACAACCACTCGAAGTGATCACGGCTTGCAAAAAGACGAGGGAGGACGTTGCCTATTTTACAGAGTTCAAACATCGTGAGCAAGATCAAAAAAGACGAGGGCCAGGGTGAGACATCCGGAAGCTTACCCGGGCCTCGCGCCTTTCCTTCTGAACATCCTTGAAGCCCTCTGAAACCCTTGGGTCTGCCCTCCAAGCGCCCTTGCTCACCCGGTTTCACGGGCGAGTTCAGCTCGACTTCCCGCCACCTCAGCTGCAGCTTCAGGCTGTAGGGGAGATGTAGAAAATTGAAGAAAGAGTGCATTTGATGTTTGGGTTTCTGAGCAGCGACATGGTACAAGATTTGGGGTGCAAGATTTGAAGGTACCAAGCTCGAATGGTTCGACTGGAACTTGCAGTTTAGACCCTACCCCCAAGCATGTCTCGTCGTACCGAACAATACAAAGCACGCGTGCAAAAGCTGTGGTGGAGGAATCCGGGCCTTCGCAGCAGGCTCACACTGCAGTCATTGCGGCCATCGCCCTCCACCTTCGGCACACAGCGCAGCGGCAACGAATTTGATGTTGCCACTGCGACGGTTGAGATTTTGTTCTCCAAACAGTAGTAAGAGTGAGAGAAAGGGGGCTAGGTCGCTGTCACCGCGCCGCGCGACCGCTGCGGACCATGGGTTCTTTGGAAGAAGATCGTGTTCTCGCCTAGGTCTTGAGACTGTCATCGCATTGGGAAGTCGGGGCTCGCGAGATGCGGGACTGTCATCGCTTCTGGACGTCTGCGCTCTGATATGGTCTCTCACCATTTGGGGTCTACGCTGGCATAAACGAGGTCAGTGGGCCTCACGTAGGAACTCGGGCGCTGAGACTTGTTAGCCTGAATGCTGGACATCTTGGTCATGCTAGATGTGCCTGTAGCTTCTTGCATAAGAAGCTTACTTGCTCGCTCTGCCTTCCCTCTTGTAGCCCGACGGCTTATGACTGCAGTGTGCAGATAGTCATGCTTGACATGAACATTGATGTCTTTTGGAAGCAGAGTTCTATGTCAACTCTGAATAACGGTTCCGCCCAATGTTTTTTCACTTGAGCAGCATTAGGCATTGCTCTTTTCATTGCGAGTTCATGTGCTTCCCCAGGTGGTGAATTTGTACATACTATGCTTCGTTGGTGGGCATGGTCGTGCCCTCGATCAGTGCCGTGAGTGTGAAAATGCCATGAGTGGGAAAATGGCGTTTGGAAACGCAGACAAAAAGAGCTTTGCGTGGCGCATCGTAGCTCACAGCAATGTATAGAGTAATTAGCATGACATGCCATGTTACATAATAGGCGATGACCTGCAGCGGTTAGCGCCTGCGGCCGCTAGCGCAATATACGACGGCAGAAGCGCAACGCAAGTTTGAAAACCGAAACAAGCGGGGACACAACCTAGCATGATATAACACAATGTAACCATGTCATACAGCTCACTGCGCTACAACACAACTTGATACAGCAGATGCTGTTCTCATGGGAGCGCAATCGTTGGCAGATGTTAGGAAACAGTAGCATTGCCTCTGGGACTGCAGGGCCAGCCGCAAGCAGCGACTCCATGGCCCTGCACCATGGGGCATTGTCTAATTTTGAACACGTATTCGTCCTGAGCCGGGAAAGGTGCAAAAGACAGCTCGGCCCTAAGCAGCCAGAACACACAAGATCAGACAAGTCGCTGTCCGACATGGCACTGGTCGAGCGGTTTAAACAGAGCACGAGTCAAACGGTCATTTTCTGCCACTCCGCTCGCCGTGCCGATTGGAGATGGAAGAACATGCCCTGAATGGCTCTGGCTGCCAGAACCGAAATTTTGCTTCGGACCCTGCTTGCTAGGCGCCTTTTGAGTTAGAACTGGTGCTGCTTCGTCACTGCATCATGCCTACCAGAGCAATGCAGGCAAGCTGTTGCAGCGTCTGTCGTCGAAAGTCGTGCTCAGAGCAGAGAGAGCGCTTTATCACCTGCAATCGCCGTCTGATTGGGGAGACTGACTCGGGGCTCAGAACTGTGAAAGGAACATATGGTCCATGAAAGGCCCATGGCCTCTTGTAGTGCGCGACCTTGCCAGGCTTGACGGCGGAAACCGTCTCTTCTAGGGGCTTGTGTACCTCAGAATGGTGAGTTGGTGGCTGCGTTTAGACGTGAATGCACACCCCAGGGAGAACCAATGACATAAGAGAGGAGCAGGTCAAGGACACTCAAACAGCTGTTAGCTGCACTCCTGAGGCAGCCACCATGGATGGTGCGAAGCCCTCACCGTTTCGGTAAATAATCTCACACTCATCCTTAGAAAGACAGCGTCGTCAGGCTATGGTCATGCGGTCATCTTTTTAAGGCCGACGTCCGCTCCAAGCATTCACCTATCCTATTCTCCCGTCCGGGGCCCCTTCAAAAGAGGGAAAAGCTACGTAGCACGGAAAGCTGTCAATGGTCCTGTCTTCGTCGAAGGCTTCAGAGGCTTCAAGGGGGGCTTAAGGGGAGCTTCAAGGGGCTTAAGGGGGGGCTTCAAGGGGGGCTTGAAGGGAGGCCGCAAGGGGGGTTCAAGGAGGCCATGCCAGTCGCCCCTACTGAAGTGCTGCTCAAAGGGCCGACTCAATGGTATCAAAGATGGACTCGATGAGTGGAGCGGGGTCCTGCAGCCAAGAGATGCAAAGAGAAAACGCCGTGGGGATCTTTCCTTTGGCGGTTTTCAGGAAGCCTTCTCGCTCTCTTCTCTTTCTTCTTCTGCTGGGCCTGAGGGCCATGCCCATGAACCCCCGACGGCCAAGCGGGTCTTCAGATACTAGCTGTTGGAAGTCCGTCTGGTTTCGGGGGCTGCTGTTCAGAGCGGTCCCCGGCATGCTCCGTGCAGTCAGTCGCTTCGGCCGACGCTTCGGCCGTCAGCGGTGTCCTCCTCGTCCACGTCCATCTCGTCGCCGTGGTCCATTCGCTTCCAGTTCCGCGATTTCAAGCACTTTCAACTCTCTTTTCAAAGTCCTTTTCATGGTACTTGTTTGCTATCGGTCTCGAGCCTGTGTGGTCCCCATCGGCTCTTCTGGTTCATTCACTGCTGGTACGGTCGACGCTTGGCTGGGGTTTTCGTGGTCTCCCCTGTTCGGTCTCGCTGTGGTCTCCCGCCCCGCCCCGCCCGGCCCGGCCTCGCCCCCCCTCCCCTCCCCTCCCCTCCCGCTCTCTCTCGATACCCTCACAGCAACACAGCAAGAGCTCATGCATCGTAGTACGGGGTCCTGTGCCCACGAGGCAAGGTCGCCTTCCATGCGGACAGGAACAGGACGCTGCGTGCCAAGCTCTCAGAACGATGGAAATCCAGTATTAAACGTACTTGTACCGGTAGTTGTTGAAGACAGCACGCACAATTCTCAACTGGCGAAGTGGCAGCAACAGCAACTACCACCGTTTAGTCGGCCTCCCACGAAGCCGATGGTCAAAAAGGGCGCTTCGATCCTGGCGGACCTGACAACATTCCCAAGCTCTCCCCCGTCACTCCGTTCTAGACATCTAGACCTCCCCTCCTTGAACCAAGGTTTGGCACCACAAGCCCCTAAACTTTAAACAAAAAAACGCAAGAGCCGTACCCCCCATCGTACCCCCCAAACATCCCGCTAAGCCGTACCCCCAGCGGGCCTGAGCAATCCGAGGGTCAGGGAGTGCATCTCGACCGTGCGGGCCGAGGTGTCCGTCCAGTCGAAGAAAGACCTTAGCGAGATTCTGAGACTGAATTCTCTTACTGCCAAAATGTGAGGAGCAGATGTCACTCCGCGAATGCTTTGGTTGTGTTGTCAGTTTGTTGTTGCTTGAGTCATCCTTATGGGCCCGCAAGCCACCAACAAAGATGAAACTGGGACACGAAACGGCACAAGCTGTACTGAACCTGTTCTGCATTCAGCTCACCGGGGTCCCGGCTCACCAAATTGCACGAAGACGAGCTTTCGCAGATTTGCTGCGACCCTGAAGGCTGCTAACGATGCCGGAAGCACTCAGAAGTAGCCTCTGGAGAACCCTGGAAGATTCTGCAAGGCATGCGGAGCTTGAGACAGACTAAGCTCGAGACACTCCTCCGATGGTGTGCTGGACATTCATCACTGTCGCAGACTTAGTAGAGCACTTTACCACACACGGCTTTCAATACTGCTATCCAGAACTATCCTTACCTACAGCCTAAATCCTAGCCGACGTGCCAGCTTTGATTCGAGGGCAACCGACAGCGCGTTCTGCAGCTGCTGGGGATGGGGCATAGTTCATCGCATGGTCCTGCGTCGTCATGAACACCATCATGTGTTCATTCCTGGCAGGTGTCTAGGGCTCTGACAGCGCCTGGCACTTAGTCAACTCACACCTTCGGCCCTAAGGGCTGTGTGTTGAGTTGGTGCTTGATCGCATGCCCTTCCAACAACTACGAGCTTGCCTCTCAGATGCGTCATTCGACCGCAGGCCCACCGCCGTGGGCACTGCATTGTGCTTGTAACCTGGGCGAAGCAACAGCAGCACATGAACCGAAGCAGCATGCCTACTGAATGGCCCTGAAGCTCTGTGCCACCTGCCAGAGCCTTGTAGACGGCCTGTAAGCCTGCAAGCCTTCTAGGGTATGCTGGGGGTCTGGCCGGTTCTGAGAGTGAGGATGTCGTACTGCCCGCGCGCCCTGGGACAAGCGAGGCACATGTCAGACCGAGCCCCGAGCACCTTGCAGGCATCACTCCAGCCATCTTAATTGCTTCTCTTCTCTGGCCATTTAGAACTTTCCAAGCGCTGGAGGCCCACTCAGCCGCCGGCTGTTTGTTTCCAATGTTTCGGTCCTTCGTGGGCTGCCACACCACGGTATAGCAGTAGCCAGCCTGCACAGCTTCGGGTGAAAACGCGAGTTTGAGCCTCTTGGGGCGGCAAAGAGTCGTCCAAAGTCTTCGACTCTCAGCCCTGGTGGCCAACGAAATGACACATTGTCGGCCTACTGAGTTTTGACTGCCTTTCGGCTTTATCGAGGATGACACATCGTTCAATACTGGGTTCGGCACGATGGGGTTCCGCCAAGCAAACTTGCCACGATCCAGCCTCAAGGACGAGGGCAGTCGAGGGAAAATACTTTCACCCGCAAAAAACTTCTCCCACCCAACCCTCCCCCGATCCCCCGGGGCAACGCAACAGCTCAAAAAGAAACACGCCCGAATCTTTCTTCAAAGCCTGAACGCGAACCTGCGAACCCGAAAAAGCATCAACGAGAGTTGAGGGGTGAGGGTCTGGGAGTGTCCGGCACAGAATCCTTGTGGTTAAGCTGCGCACTGCTTGCTGTCCGGGACAGCTTCCTCAAGCCTTAGATGGAAAGATTCAACTTATTCCTTGAAAATGTATTCGAAGTCTGGACACTAATCAGTGCACTATCTACTAGAATTCCTGCTAGTGGGCCGGGTGTCAGCTGCACACGGATTCACGTGAAAAGGGTGTGCCTCTTGCGCCCATCGGTGGGTTTGACCCTTCCACATACGAGTACTTGAATATACGGCTAGCGGCTGCACCTTCACATGTTCGGCCAGGTTGCTTTGGTGGTGGCACGTTCGGCTTGGCAGGCAACGCATTCTTGGGGCTGGTATACTTTCCACCTGGGCCAAGAGATCGTAAAGATCAGATGATGAACATACTCGTAGTCACACATCATGGACTGAGGGGTTCGCTCATAACCTGCGCGAAGATCTCTGACGGATCACCGCTGGCCTCGATAATGCATGATCAAAATCTCGATTTTGATACAGCTGGGTGCCTGAGAACCGGACCTCAACAACATCTGGGTGCACGCCGTTGAACAGAAGAACACGCGCCACGAGCTGGAGTGCGTTGGTCTGAGCGGCAAAATCTCTGCATGGCTCTGCTGTCTTTGCCCTCCGCTAGCACTCGAGCAGTTTTGCTGTTGGGAATGTCTACGTGGCTTGCAGGACCGCCTACGCGCCGCCCATACATGACGTTGATGTTCCTTACAACCTACGCCAGCCTACGCAGAAACCCAAAAGATTCGTGATCGCAAGCTACGCGGACCCACACGGCCTCCTACTGCATATCTATGCCTAAACAGCACCTATATGCACCTACACACCCCGCTAAACCTCAAGGAACGATGGATGACGATTTTCGACCGCATGCCATATATACAAGAACTGAAAGCAAAAACGTTGCTCAATGACAGTGACATAGCAACGATGCCTCACAAGTCTCACGAACTATTGCGGCTCAGATCGACCACTGTGAGTGACAAGCTGCCAAAAGTACTTCAAAGTCAAACAGGCCCTGCAGATTCTCCCGCTCAAAAGCACGGCAGAGCCACAGCCAAAGGGAGAGCAGAGGAGAAAGCACAAGCAAGATTCTATGCCAGAATCTGTCCGCCAAGCTCCAACAAATCCCAACTATCAGGCATGCAGAGTGAAGCGAGCAGGAATCGCATGATGCGGCAAAATTTCACTAAACAGCGTGAGATCCCATAGCGCTCCCCTGATCCGACCTGCTCCGCATCATTGCCGGAAGCGGCAAAGAGCACGTGAGCATCCTGCACGACACACGCTCTACAACCCACACTAACAGGAAATGTGAGCGTCGGTAACTCTTCCTGGGGAGCTTCCAAGGCATCGATGCGTGCACATACATTCCGACTGCAGGCCTGCCTTCGAAGAACTACATTCGCCTCAGCCCCCGTACACACACTTACCGTATACCCCTCGCACACACCCATGCCCCTACCTGCACCCTTACACCTCATGCCGGGCAGCCCGCCACCCCGACCCCTGCCCTATACCTCACACCAACTACAAACTAAACACCGTGCATATGTAGATATTCATATACGTATAGATGATTCAGTATACATGTACACACACAGAGACAGACTTCTGTGTCTCCAGATGCACAGGCAAAAAACACATGCCCTCCGGCCATGGAGTCTAGCACGACTCTGAACTTTTGAAAAGAAGCTTGCGCACTGTTGCACCAAGGTTTTGAACATGTGATTCCAGCCTGTCAAGTATAGCACGTGCACCTGCTTCAGTCCTTCGCAGCACGTAAAGCTTCGACGCTGTCGTCACGGTCAGCCACCGCGCAGGTGCCGAGCTTCTTACCTGTAAAGGGCTTTGTAAGCTTTGGCTTAGGAATATGAATCTATGAAGGCTTGGGACCTGAGGCTCGAATCACTTGCTTCTGCTTGGGTTCTTAAGCCAGGGCACTCAGCCGAAAGAGTCGCGCACGAGCCAGACCCATGAGGGCGGCTGCCTGGCAGACCAGGGAGGATGAGGAGTTGGGTTCGGGAGGTTTCGTGGTTCGTGCGGCTTTCAGCTCGGCTCTGAAAAAACTGCCACTGACTGGCATGCACTGTTTCTCAGCATTTCCCAGCATATCGCACGTGCAGCATAAAGCTTGCCACACAAATGTAGCCGATGGCAGCCGTGTGGGCGGATGCGGCTCGACTACACCTGTGGGCAAGCAAGCTCAAGCGAGAATTGGGCTGGGAGCTCTTTGGCTGTCTGGCGCTGCGCTAGGCACGCGAGCGCACGTCCCCTGCTGGAGCTGTCCGCAAGAACTGTGCCAAGCGGAAGGTCATCAGAATCAGCGGCAAGCATAGAAGCAACAAGAGTGCGCTCATGGCCGAGACGCTTCCAAACAACCGCTGCGAGAGGTCCGAGCACGGCCAAATTAGGAAGGAGATGCTTCCAGTTACCAGTGAGATCAAACCATTTATGGTTCCAAACGTTCGATTCCCGAACGTATGCCCAAGAAACGAGAATGCTGCACAGTAGAGTAAAGCTCGGTAATTCGTAAAGGCGATAAAACCAACGAGTTGCAGCTGGAGGGATGGCACCAGCGCCACAGAATTCCAGACAATGTTCAGGAAGATCACCACGAAGAAGGTCACTGCAAAGCCCTTTTTTGAAAGCAGCAGGCTGTACAGCGGCGCAAAAAGGGAGGAAGCTGGAAGAAGAGCTGTGAAGATTTGAACGTAAGCATAGTCTGTCTCCGCATCACCAAGGGACTCGAGCAAGAGTTTGTTGTAGCCCAAGTAGCTGTTCGAAGTAAACACTTGCGTCGTGAAGACCACCATGATGAAGGCAAACTCCAGACTTGCACATTGTCGCCTTACCGACTGGCCATGGAGCCGGGGGTTCTTCGAGGACGTACCTGCCACCAGTTCCTCCGAAGCCCTCAGCTCCGCTGCGTTGCGGGCCTCCAGGGTTCGGAGGGGCGGCCCACACCAGCTGAGTGCCAGCAGGGCGCTCAGTGCCAGGCAGAGCGCTGCATAGAAGCCGAAGATGGTGGAGCGTGTCAGGCCCAGGCGGTAACTCTGGTAGAAGCCGACGGGAATCACAGCCGAGGCATCGACAAGGCAGTTCGCGAACGTCATAACTATGGGAAAGTACCGCGGCTGCACAATGAAGGCGAGCTTCATGGCATGCATAATCAAAGCAGAGCCTCCTGCACCGATCAAGACCGTCGAGATTCCCAAAACATCCACTCCCATGCCAGATCCCTCAGCCTGGCCCATGACGAGCAGGCCCACTGAAGTCATCAGCCCTCCTACCGCCACGAGGAAGAGTGGCCCAGCCTGGTCCGTCACAAAGCTTACGAGGGATAGGCCCCAAATTGCTGCCATTTGGCCCACAGTGTAAAGCAGGACCATGCGGCTACTACGGGCCTTGCACACCGGATCCTCCCCACAAAGATCGCGATAGACGCCGTCCTCCTCAAGCAGCGGCTGCCAAGAGGCCCATCCAAAGATAGGCCCCGAGAAGAGCACTGTGACCAAAAGGCCCAGAAGGACCGTTGCCCACTGGCGCAAGCCCGGCTGCGCGTCATTGCGCTCAGCCAGTGCACCTTGAGAGGGGTCCACAGGGTCCACAGCGACATCTGATTCTGCCACGATGTCTCCCTTCGGGCCCTCATCCTCCTCATCCTTGCACGCGGTCTCTGCATCAGGCTCCGGCTGATCCGAGTGCGGCTGCTTCGTTCGCTGCATGCTTTCAACCAGCAACTAAGGCTACTACGGCGCTATGAGGCAGTTCCAGACTCCCGGCTCTGGAGCTGCCCCCCAAAAAGCACGTCCGCTGATGGAACTGCTCACTGCTTGGACTCGCTACGATGGGCTAAGGGGGCTACGAACTACGCTACCCCGAAAGGATGTTCCAACAGCAGACTCTATGCAATGGCAAAGCAGGGTGCCGCTATGCTTGACCAGCCTGATCCCAAACCGGCACATAAAGATTCTTCTGACTGTCACTTACCCATCACTCACCTCGCCACTTCAGGATACTCCGGGCACTCTCCCCCACCCCCCCTGCAAACCGGTGCTGTATGGGCACCTACGGGAACTCGTCTCTCCGCATCCCTTCCCCAGGCCTCCTGCGCTGGATCCCGGAGCTCTTTTGCTAACTTGGCAAGCTCCTGCGGCCACACAGCAGCGTGCTTCAAGGCAGCGTTGCGCTCTCCAAGAAGATGCATCTGAAGGCACTTTGTTGTCGCACACATACGACTACCATGTGTACTTCTGCAGGATCGCGTGCGCCTACCCTGATTTATGACGGCTTTTGCCACTCATCTTAGACTGCTGAGGGTTTGACTCGAATGCTTGCCATGCCTTATCAGGTCTACCACGCGCATTGCCTTCTTAAGGACTTCAAGTCCCACGTCCAGCCCGGGCTTCGGTTTGAGCCCGCTGGGCTTATAGGGTTTACAAAGGACACTGCACATCACTGCACGAAGGGTCGGATCAGGGCCCGCATGGTCGGCTGCTGTGGCACAACACACTTGCAAGTGCCAAGCAGTCGCAAGCGAGGCATTCCCCTGACTTACGCCTACACGATCATGTCTTTGTGATGCAGGTCTCTGTACTCGCAAGTGCAGTGTATGCACGACTGCTTTTGGGTCGAACACAGGACATCGCATGGTGCGTCACTCTCCGTTTGATTCAGGGCTCTTAGAGCAGTGAGGAGCAAGCTTCCAACTGATTCGACTAAAGCGAACATTAACCTCATTTACCCCACGCAGATCCCAAACCAGAGTTCACCGGTCCCATACCACAGAAGGCTTGCGACGGCCAAAACAAAGCGGAGCTCCTGCCACGCAGCCAGAGCCTTCGCCACAACAAACACATGCACATCACGTGCACATCACGCATTGTGACAATCGCGATGTCGGTGTGACCATCGGCACACGCTTGATTGGAGATCGGGATTGCAAGTCTTGGTTTGTGCATTGCTCAGATTCGTTCTGCGTAGAAAAACAGCTGCCTGGCCTTGTCCAAGTCAAACTCCGTGGCAGCCACGGCCATGGCCTTCCATGCGTCAGCCTTCAAACAGAGTCGGGGCGCTTCCTGATACAGCATGCCCTCTTACTACCTTTACTCACAAGCCACTGTGAGGGGTGAAAGAGGCTTGAACCACAGGCGCGACCTGCCCGGCGCGGTCTCCAGCGACCTGGAGCAGGTTGCGGCCATGAAGTCGCTGGCTTTGAGTCTCTGGATCAAGGTGCCTCCGGTGCCCTCAAGTTACAAAGATCCCTAACCCCCAAGCATCCTCAAACCCTCTGAATCAGTGGTGCCTCTGAAACTCCGGGAATGGTTTGATAAGCCCACCCGGTAGACCGCCTTGGCCAGACGCAGGGCTTCGCGGCCCGCGGCAGCTGCCTGCAAAAAGAAGCTCTAAGCGGGCAAAGCACTCGAGGATGTTGCAGGCTTAGGCGCTTCTGCAGCGATGTCAGCAGAACCCGCAAGCCATGGCCTCCTGGTAGCGCCGAGTCTGTGAGCACACCTGGCTTGGATAGGGGGGTCTTGGGGATCGTGCAAGCAATGGCTCCCGAACATCCCATCTCCAACCCCCTCTTTGGGTCCAGCAAGTTGGGCTTGCCTCGGCAACCAGCAGCTGTGCCTTCGTCGGATTTGGACCACAGGCTTTCCGCAGCGCTGGTTTCGCGTTGTTGAAACTTACGCGGGGTTCTCGGGGCACCCCTGGAGCGAAAGAGAGGAAAGCGAAAACATGAAAAGCGTGCTTCCACGGCACGGTGCGCGCGCAAGGCAAAGAAGATGGAAAACTCCCTTTACCGAAACGGAAGTCCAGTCAAAGCACCAGCCTCCTCGCACCTCGCCCAACCGGCAACAAAAAATGTAGGAATTGCCTATCTGGCCTTTCAAGGTCCCACCAGCACCCCATCACGTGACATCCCCATCACCCAACATGGGCCTTGGCTTCACTCTTCGGATCCTCGGGGGCGGAAATTCAGAACCGAGAGCGGCTCAGTGTTGCAGTTTCACAAGTGCCGCGAAGCCATCGGAGCCCTTCAGCCCTTCCAGGATCTTCCATTCTGAGGTCCGTGCATTGACAGTCTTGAAGAGTGCTACGGCCTCGCATCGGATCTCGAGATCAGCTACCAGTGCTTCACAACGGGGCTGTGTGTGAAACTCTGTGACAAGCAGTGCACCATGCCTCAGCGGCAACAGCTCGGGCTTCTGGTCGCTTGTGCTGCTTCAAGTAGATATCGATCCTTCGGCAAGAACGTGCAGAGACCATGTCGTGAAAATGAAAACAAGTCAGAGCTCGTCCGCAAGGACCAAGCTGCCAAGGATCTTTGCGCTCATGGCTTGGCTCTGCATCTGCTGGTTCCCCGCTTTTTGGAACCTCAGAAGGCCAAGGACTGTTGTCCTCCGGTCTTTAGCTGCTGCTTAGCTTTGTTGCCACAGAACTTCGAGGAAGCGAAACTGCTGGAAGGGTTCCACGCCAGCAATTGTCAGTAAGGAAAGCTGGCGGAACGGGACATGAACGGAAAAAGTGCGGCAATGACGATCGACGAGCTGCTACTGCTAGTAATGCTCACAAAGGCTTTTTTGCTTCACCTTAAAAAATGGGCTCCGCACGCATCTATGGCCTCATCGGCCTTGGCCAGTGCCTCGTCATAGGCGCCCTGGGGCCACAGCGGAAGTGTGAGACGGTGGGATCTTGCAGAGGTTCTCCGGCTTCGGGAAACCCGAATCCCAGTTAAAAAGCTCAGACCTCTATCTGAAGCACAGCCAGAACGGATTGTGCGTCTCCCATGTACACGGGCTCAATGTGTTTAGAGGATTGGGGCCACCATGATTGCAACAGGCCTTTTCATCAAGATGCCACGACGTCTCAAGCTTGCGAGTCTTTTTGCGGAGAATGCAGGGGCAAAATGGCAAAACCACATGCATTGTATCTTCCAGATTGTTGCAGTGATAACTTCGAACTCCAAAGGAAACTGCAACGCCCGAAGATTGCAACACAACTCGGATGAGCGACAGAAGCCGCAATTTTGTAGCTGTTGCCACGGGGAAAAGCAGGTCGGCAGGCCTCTGCCAATAAGGTTTTCGCCGCGGCCAGGGAGGACGCTGCCTCCTGCAGCGAAGATGATGGCAGGTGTATCTGTGATATACAGCGATGGTTGCAGGCTGGCGATTAAGTCGAGCTTGCAAACTCATGGTACTAGTAGCATGAAGAGAACCAAGTGCAATAAGTGTTTGAGCGTAGGCTGACAGCTACCATGGGACCGTATCAGGAAGCATGCCGTGGCACTTTGAGCGCAAGGAACCCCCAAAAAAAAGATCCCAAATCTGTTCCGAACCCCATCCCTGAACTGAGCCCGGGGCTGCCATGGCGGCTCCGTGTCAAGGAGGATGTCTAAGCTATGACTCCAGATCTATGCGACTATGAGAGCTTTCGGTATTCGGCATACTGAAGCTGTTGGCAGGCACCTGCTAAACGTTGCCCGATGATGCTTCAAGAAGTCGCGGTGGCATGAATCGTACTGCATGAAACACATTCCAACCCAAAAAAAATGCCTGGAGCCTGTGCCGCGCGAACTGTCTGCCCTTTCCCAGCAGGATGGTGCCTTGCTGCTCTACAGCTTTGGGAATGTTGGGAATGGCGTCCCTCGCCATATCGTTCAGCCGTCCATGCACAACAGGTACTGACAATGACACAACCACACAACTGACACCAGCCGCTAAAGCACGAGACACTACCGTGAACACGATGAACGGAATGGCTTGCATCCAGGGCCAAAAAGACCCTTGAAGCGAAGGATTCGCGAAGCGAGTTGGCCGCGCGACTCACGCGTATGGGTAGCGTGCACAGACGGTCATGGAAAAGATGCCTGTGGCTGCCGAGGCGGATGAAGCCACCTGGGAGGACGAATCCCCATCAACGGCATGGAGGATGCTCGAGGCGCAGGAGCGCGCAAGGGGAGTAAGGAGTAACCAGTAACCGTGTGGAGTGAGGAGAACTTCCTCGCGGACAAAACAGTTGAACTAGAGGGACGTTCTAACAGCATGCTTGCGTTGGGAACCTTCATCTAAATCTGGTGCGGAGTGCGAATGGGACTCAAACTGCAAAGTGCAACTGTGACACCTGTACGCGGTGCCAGGCGGACGGCTCAGGTAGTTTGGTGCCAAAGCTCAAATCTTATCACTTCGACAGCATCGAGCCGACTAGGTGTTACAAAATGAAGGCCAAGGTCTCACGGAACCCCCAAGGCAGGAAAAATGAAGACATGTCCAAATGAGCACGGCCAAGCACACCCCAGCCAGTCGGAGGTCATCCAGGAATCATGGTACCGGGCCGTCATGCAAATTTAGATGCCGTTTGAGTAGGAGACTTGGGCCGTTTGAGTAGGAGACTTGGCCAGTGTCTAAACCCTGCATCAACACAACAGTAAGTAAGTCTTAAAACACCCTAAGGCAGTTTCATGTGGCAGGAGCAACAAGAGCCACCCGCGTCAGACGGAAGTTGTGCCTGACTCCAAACCCTAAAGGAATCATGTCGCATCCCTGCCATGTGTAGCTCGTATGGAGAGGGTCTTAGGACATTGCACAACCAAAATCACATGACGATCTGATTCCTGGGATGGTTCCTGCCTTCTACCTGCAGTATTCCCAAGTCTCCCTCATGTGTTCCCGACTCTTACTACCATGTTCCCTGCTTTTGGTTCCTCACAAAGCTTGAATGGCGG